TATGTAGTTAAGTAGTACTTAACCAGAGTTGGGCATTATTTAGATATTTTTTTATCAAAATTATTATTTAAATCATTTTTTTATTTGAATAATTTATTCAAATGACCGTCAAATAATTTTTTTTATTGGAAGAAATCATCTTAGATTTTGTCGAATAAAGAGATTATTCTAATAAACTAGTTATTACTCGTTATTCGAATAGAAAATGCCTGACTCTGCACTTAACTAGTTAATAACTTTTGTGCTAGACTCACTAATGGTTTATTTTATATTTTATTATTTTATTACCGAATTAGACATTAGGTAATAAAGTTAAGTGCATACTTATTTACAAGGCACATTATTTTAAGTAAAAATTTGTTGTAAATGTTTACTAGGCTGTTAACTATGGTTACATTCTAGTTGCTGAATGATATGATGCTCGATTATTACCCATGTTAATTGTTATGACGAATAAGTGGAACTAATAATTTATTAAATCAATAAACTATAAAAATATGTTTTCATAAAATCAGTATTAGTTTATTATAATTTTTTTACCTAGAAGGCTAGAATATTAATTTACAATACAACTTGACAATTATTTAAATTAAATTGCTTTAGACAAACTTTAACTGCAGAGCAAGTAAAGGCTTTTATTTATTATTATTGTCTTATTTTATTATAAGAGTTTGTTAATATTATACACTTAATATATTAACAAGTAAATCTATATTGGCTTTTTTTGTAAATAAATAATAATAACTCAAACAAAGGTCGCTTTTAAGCCATGTGTCCTACTTAACCGGAAAAATCCATAATAACGTTATACCATCTAAACTTTAAGCTAAGCCTTTTTGTTAAAATTCAATAAATCAAGTATAAGAATGTCCAAAACGTAGACATAGTACAATTATTTTTATGAACTCAAAATTAGTTTGAATATAATAACATTTAAAATTTTATTTTTTATTAATCATAATCGTCAATATTGTTATCATTATCAGTATATTACAGTAGTAAGTAGTTTAAGTAACTAAATCTGTATTTTGCTAGCTATTTACAATAAAAAGCTTACATTTTTTTTTTTTAATTCATTAAAAACCTGTGAACAATAAAGTGTTGTACATTGTAATCCAATTCCTGTATTATCGATTAAAAAACATAATTGGGTTTTCTTTTTTTCTTTAATTTAAAATTCTCTATCGGTTATTGCAAGTATCTATTGTCTTACATGGAAAATACTAGAGAAAAAGGATTTGCGAAGGTCGGCTTAAATTTGTAAGGCTATTATAGCTTTCTCGATAATAACTATTCGGTATTTGCCGGTAAAAACTCGCTTCATAATATTATACAGCTTTCAAGAGCCAGCGCAGTGGGGTCAGGGCATAGTGGAGACAGAGCATATTATTGGGATCGGGGAGGTTACAGGTTTTCAGAAATTGTTAAAACTGAAAGTCATAAAATCAAATAAACGCGAATCTGTGGATGTTAGAAATATTAACCGATAAAAAGACTGCAAATTAAAATTGTATTTCTTAGTGTTACAGAAGATACGTTTATGGTTGGTCGTCTGTTTTTCCTAATAATTTGTTGGCGTTGTTAACAATAGGCTACTCAACAAAATAGTGAAAATATTTTATTGGATACCTGTTGACTGTTGATTCACTCATGCATAGCAACTTAAATGTACTATGGTCAAAGTATAATTTTCCCTTTTTTTGGGGTATTTTAAAAAAAGTTGTATTATTATATTACCTATAAATTATTTAGGTAAACATATAATAATAATATTAATTATGATTTATGATTGAGTATAGAGTGTACTCTTATTGTAATATTTTATACTCATTGACAGTATTCACTACCAGTACGGTACTAAGTGCGCCATCTATTCCGTGTTTAGCGAATTATATATATTTTTATTTTAAATAAAACATTATACATATTATATACTGACAAAATTCTGCGATGACATTTCAAAATTCAAAAGCCTTGTCATAGTTTAACTTTTGTGGGGATTAAAACTAATTAACTACTATTAATAATACTAACAGCGTATTTATAAATAATTATTTATACATTAACTAGAAAAATATTCTTGTTAACTTAGAAGTATTGGACAAAAAGTCCGAAAAAAAGAAGAACATTTCATTATTATAAATTATTTTTAGGTAAATTGATAATTAAGCTTTTAAGAAATAAATGTATAGCAATGTAATTATATTAATATTTTTTTATTTAACAAGCATTTTTTTTGGAGTTTTTGCAAATTTTTGGAAAATGGATACAAAATGTATTTCGTCTTCTTGAAATTTGAAAACAACACACTGTATCGATAAATCCCCTTTTTGGTCTGGCCAAACTTCTGAAAATCCTAAAAAAGAAAATTCATTGATCAAAAGTTAATTAACCTTGTAAGGAGCATGTGGTAAATGTTTACATTTCTGGGATAATTTCACTTCTGGATTTACTAACTTTTGATCAATGTGTTTTTTATTAATATTTTCAGGGGTTTAAACAATAAAGGAATTATGCTATTATTTTTATGAAGCATTTATTAGTTCAGATTTTTGTTATAGTGATTTAATTTGATGGGAAAAATTTTTGTTTTTTTTTGTTTTTAATAGATAGCGGGTTATAAGGTTTTTTCCGACTTGCTCAGGAACTTGACGTGTTAGGACAAGTTTGAAGGCATATATTGGACAAAACCCACACTAAATTTTGTAGAACCGTTGAACTGTTGTGTTATTTTAACATCTTTACAAACATTTGCACTCTATAGTCATAAATACTTAAATTAAGAACCGTGTAAATCGAAAAGCATGATTATAAAATCAACAGTGATATTGCAGTAAATATTTTTATTGATACCTAATTATTTATTTATTTTTAATCGGTCTATAGTAAGTATACCTGTAGATTCACATGGAAGAGATAAAAGCGGGAAGCGTTTCGTTAAAAGTGATTTTGTATTATTCACCGACTTCATTACCTACAATAAGCAAGTGAAACAGGGACTTTGACGATCCGGCCGTCCTCTCCGTCCAGCCATAACGAAGCAGGGTTTACTGCCAAATTTGTCGGCGGCCTAACAGTAATATTATAGTATTTAATATGGTTGACAGTGTTAGGCAAAAGCCAAAATGCGGGGAGAGTGTTATTTTTAAACTCTCCTCAGTCCTAATCAGTCGGTAACAGACCGGCGAAGGCTGGCAGATACGATACATTAACACAATATAGAAATAATTAGTTCATCCGTAAAACTGAACCGGAACGCCGCCGCGCCTACGCGTATACACACGTTCGGATTTTAATCTAGTCGCATAATTATTATTGTAACTATTATTGTACAACGTGTAATTCTAAAATAGCGGTCGGTCGTGGACGATGACGTCCGGCAAACAAATGTGTTCCTCGAACAGACGGCCGTGGCAGCCCGCAAGCCGCGCATCCGTGCGTCGCTTCTATTCATAAACTTTGCAAGGAATCGGCCCAGTGACCGCCCGATAGTCGTACGATAATACCGTGCCACCAACAAGTCAGCATCGATAAATTAAAATACAAGAAGAAGAGTCGCGTGAATTCTACAAACGCACAAAAACGGTTTCCGGTTTCGAAATCGGCCGAAACGGCGCGCAAACGGGTCGCCGACGACGATAAATCAATAACGACAATTGAACGCGTTCAGGTTGGCTGCACTGTGTCGAGTTTCAGCTGACGGCTGACCCAGAACGGGATCGCCAGCGGAAAAAAAATCCTTGATCGAAGCTATAGCTGTACCATTTATTGCGGTAAATTTATAACGTTACTGGTGTTATTATTATTATCGTACATACTTTAGTGTGTGCGTGTGTACTCGCACGGCGCAGGGGTCGTCACTGGCGTGTACATACTCGCTTTGCCGCAGTGCGACCGGACGACGTGAACTTTGACAAGCGTCAATTCGACAATGACATTTGCGATTAATGCCCCTTTCGCCGCAACACCGATTCGAGTAATATAAAAATTGCATTACGCTGTTATGATCAAGCGACGCCACCATTAAGCGCCGTGCGTGTGTTTAGGTTTGCTGTTGAGACGGGTCATGAGTGTCACCATGGAACAGAACGGCGTCCTGGATCCCGGTAAGTGATTATCTCGACAAAGTCAATAGGTAACAATTGTTTACTTATCGGTTTTTCTTCAGCGTTGGTCGGTCTCTTGGAATCGTTGGAAGGGTCGCGAGATGCGATATCGGCTTCCAAAGAGGAACTGGACTTCCTGTCCAATCTGTTGCAGAGCAAAGAATTGCACGCCTTGTTCAAAGTGTACAACACCATTGTGGACCGCGTACGAGATGACCGACGGTGTTCACCCGTCCTGTCGAGCTCCATGCAAACAACATTGGACGTCATGGAAGTTCTATTGCCGAGAATATCGCTGAGCGATACGTCTAGGCAATTATTCCACTTGCTACAGAATCCACACATACAGGTATGCATCATAATATTATTCCCTAATCTGAACATTAGTGATCAACAGTAAATTAATTAAATCTTATTGCTTTTTTTTGTTTTAATTTTTTAGGGGCTTTTGTGTGCACACGATGCTGTGGCTCAAAAAGATTACTTACCTCGGTTACCGGAAATTCCTCAAGAAATGGACGAGGACGAAGAGACAATCAAAATTGTTCAGTTGGTTAAAAGCACCGAACCATTGGTACTGAAATGTAGATAAAGCTTAAGCATGATAATGCTTCCTATTTATGATTTGTTTTTAAATTTAATGTAAGCTTATTATTCACCAGCATAGGGCATTTGACTATAATTTTTATAATCAAATGCCTATATTTCCAGTACCTTTTTAAATATTTTGTGTAATATTCTAGTCCACTTTTGTTTTGTTTTGTGTGTTTGTATAATTTTTTTATTTATTTAATACATTTTTTTTTCTTTTTACATTTATTTGCATTATATTTCTTTAGCATGCACAACAACCATAACTTCTTAGTGGTTAACATATCTTTTTGTATTAACTGTTTTGCATTACACAAGGACGGGGAACCTGATACTGCTGAACCAATTGTGGTAAGTAGGGTTGTACAAATGGATTTAAAGCGTTTATATCAAGAGGGAGGAAGGTAGAGAGCTATTAATTTACTAAACGCATAATCACTTGTCATCAATTTCACAGCTGGATTCTGCGTCCAGAACTCGACTATATTATTTATAGACGCCCTACTGTTTATTGAGCATGACGTTAACGGTTAATTACATGAGCGCGAATTTCCTTTAAAAAAAACTAGATGTCTAACCGTACTATAACCCAATTTTATACTGTATTACACTTGTATCTAAACATTGCCAATAAATCAATAGTAAATATATTGGAAAAAAATGTTTTCTTAAAGATCTGTTTAAGCTAAATAATTTAGAAAGTTTAAGTTTACTAGAGTATTTTTGTTATTTTCAATTTTATTACATGCTATTAAAGAAATATAAAAAAATTTGCACTAGGATGTGGGTGCAACAAAAAGAACATTACAAATGGCAATAGAAAGAAAGTCAGTGTAGCAGATGTTGAGGCCTAAAAATAAACACTTCTCCCTACTGTATTACAGTCATATTGAATTGTATCGGCTTTTATCCTGTAAACATCCAACGTCCGATGACAATTATGTCTAGATACTTAGTTGTATATAATTAATATTTGTCTTTAGTAAAGATTGAAACATTAAAAAAATAATAATAGAAATATACCGTGTGAGAAAAAAAATTTAAGAGACTTACTTATTACATTCAATTATAGGGTGCAACAATAAAAACTGATGAAGAAAGTGGAAAAATAATTATTGCACGTGTGATGCACGGTGGAGCTGCCGATAGGTCTGGCTTGATTAATGTAGGAGATGAGGTATGTGAAGTGAATGGAATCAATGTTGAAGGAAAATCTCCAGCAGATGTACTCCAAATACTGGTATAATAATAAATAATAAACTGATTCAAATAGGAACGTAATTGAATAAAACCATTTTTTTTTAGCAACACTCCGAAGGAACAATAACGTTCAAGTTAATTCCATCAGATCCCAAAAACGGAGCACGAGAGAGCAAAGTAAAAGTGAAAGCCCATTTTGATTTCAACACAGATGTTGATCCATACATTCCATGCAAAGAGGCTGGTCTGAGTTTTGTTAAAGGAGAAATTCTTCATATTGTCAGTCAAGATGATCCATATTGGTATGGCTATTTAGTTCCGAGAGCTAAGCAAATTTCTATGGATTTTATAACTCGTATACTAATGAATTTTATTTTTCCATAGGTGGCAAGCTCGAAAAGAGGGCGATCGAAACATGAGAGCCGGACTCATTCCAAGTAAAGCTCTACAAGAACGTAAAATTATACATGAGAGGCTTTCGACGGGTGATCCAAAAAAGAAATGTAAGTTCATTATCGTTTAAAATTAATTAATTTTATTTGTTCACTCAAATTTTTTGCGAAAATTATTGTTAAAAAATATTAAAAACATAATATTTGTTTGATGTTTGTGGTACAATATGGTCTAAATAAAATTTTTAAGCCAAATTCAGATTTTTCTTTCTAATTACAAGTAAAAAAAAAAAAAATGTTATAAAAACACATTACTCTGTTTTACATAACAAATGATTTAACTAGCTTTAAAAAAAAATTGCAATCGCTAATATTATAAATAATTTTTAGCTTTATTTTTTATTTATTCTTAAAATATTCTATTGTATATTATATTACGTACTGTTTGTATATAAGTACAACTGATTTCCACATGAGTATTAACCCAAGTTTGAATGATACAACTAAAGTGTGTTTACCATTTTTTTTAAATATTTTTTTTACACTTGTTTTTTTTGTTTCTATAACATGATTTTGTTTGGTTGATTATTAACACATGGCTATATTTGCGGATTGCAGGGGTCATGGATACCGTTAATGGGGGTTGTATTGGTGGGGGCAGCATGGCTTGTTTGCCAGACCGTTCATCGGGTAGAGACTCGCTGTGCGGGTCACTGGCTGCGCTGAACGATCTTGGCAACGACGTGACGTCCGAGTGTTCGGTACGTACACGTGTTAAAAAGGTTATCTATGACGCAGCCGAGAGCGACGACTATGACCGCGAAGACATTGCTACTTACGAAGAGGTCGTCAAGTTATACCCAAGACCAGAACAGCCGCGTCCTATTGTGCTGATTGGACCACCTGGTGTAGGAAGAAATGAGCTAAAGAGACGTATTATGGAATTGAATCCAGACAAATATCATACACCAGTACCTCGTTAGTAAAATATAAACTTTTTCAGTTCAATTTATTTGGCTGTCAAATATATATACATTTTTTTTAAATTTTCAGATACTTCAAGATCACCACGATCTGGAGAAGTCAACGGCAAAGAATATAATTTTGTTTCGAGAGAATTGATGGAAGAGCAAATAGCTCGTGGTGAATTCTTAGAGTTTGGTGAATACAAAGGTAACCTCTATGGCACATCTCTAGAAAGTGTTAAGTCAATCATACGTTCTGGGCTAACTTGTATCATAAACCCACATTATCAAGTTGGTTATTTTTTTTTTTTACTATTATAAATGTATAAAAAAAATCAAATTTACTATTTCACAAATTATTTTTTTTTATTAGGCCCTGAAAATGTTACGCACACCAGACATAAAGCCTTACATCATTTATATTAAACCACCCCCATTTGATGAACTGAAATCGACAAGGAACGCAGCATTTGCCATGTCTACGTTTGACGAGACTAATTCTAGAGGTTTTACGGTATGACTTAGAATTTAAAAAGGAATTTTTATAAAAAAGAAATAAATGTTAATACCCATTTGTTTAGGATGACGAGTTTAACGAAATTTTAAAAAGTGCTAAGAGAATAGAATTTTTGTACGACCACTGGTTTGACGAGACTATAGTAAACGACGATTTTAAAATGGCTCTAGAACAACTATTGGAAGCCGATCAAAAGTTGAAAACGGAACCATTGTGGGCACCCGCTGCTTGGTTACAGTAAAAAATGATTTATATCTAGTACTTGGTAGAAAGTGTATTATTGATTCTAATATAATCTACATATTTACATAATATGGAACTAGTTGTAAAGAAAAATAATATTACATCATCCACCGCAGCAGTATTTTTTTGTCCTTATGATTAGAAACACATTACTAAGTATCGAAAGTACAACTGATATAAAAATAATAACACATTTAATAAGATATTGTTCTACTTTCTTATAGATATAACTATATAAGTAATAACAATGAAAACAAAATGACAAATATACAGTATAATAGTTAATTATTTATGCTTTTAATATAACTATAATAAATATAAATGTTCTTTACTAGAATCATCATTAAATAGGCTTTCTATCAGTGGTATAGTTTTAAGAATACACTGTGCCGTACCCACCTCCCACATTTATGTAAGCATGTGCCTATAACAAAAAATGAGTACTCTATCCGCTGTTACGCGATATATGTTTTGAGCACATGCATACACAGAAAAGTTAGAGATCGGTACACAGTCTATGGCCCTACGGTTATATCTTTGTCTTCTATGGTTGTGAAATATAATTTAGATGTTAACTTTTACCCGTTTCTAGTCAACACTTGTATTCAAAAATATTACAGTTAATCTTCCATTAGCAAAAGCCTTAAGGAAACCACAGTATGTACAAATAGTTTTCCCAAAAATGTAATTTGTTTCTCCAAATTCTTATATAATAATTTTTAGTGTAAGTTGAGTATAATTTTTTTCCCCTAAATTCAAAATAAGTGTGTTATTGCCAAATATAGAATTATAGGTACCATTGTAATATAGTTCAAATTTATAATAATACCCACCGTTTAGTTGATAATGTTATTGTCAGTTTGAGATCATTTTTATAAATGGTGTTCATTATAATAATATTAATATAGTTTAAACATTTTTAAATTTATTGTTATTGGTTTTAATCACCAAATTATAATATAACAATATTACATTTTGATTATATGACATTATACTGTTATTTCTATTGTTGTCTACTATAAGATTTATTTTAACTATTTCTTGTCATTCAAGTTACTTTTAAAATGCGTAATATTATTATTCTTAGGTATCACTTGTTATACAATTTATTACATAATATTTATATACATTTTTTCTCTAATTGTTTTAAATTTTAATAATTTATTCGACGTTCAGTGTATTTTATTTAGGTTATTGGTTTGAATTTTATGTATACCGGACATTATAATAAAATGTTGGTTTAAAACATTCATTTTCAAGTGTTATTTCTTATGCCTCAGCTGCTATGACTGTTGGCTTTTGTTGGTTGGGTTCCGGGTTAAATATTTGAGGTTAGCAGACATGGCATGGGCTGCCACTAAAAACCCTAAGCAGCCAGCCGAGCAGCGATGGTCGCAGCTTAACGTCACATGCAGTATCTCTGAGTTGACCATTGACTTATACCAAGCTCCTAGTTTTAAAAAACTTGTGCATGTTTGATAGAAATACATTTATATACAGCCAAGTATATGATTTTTTCTTTTATACACAGAAGTTCTTTACATGCATACATGACATAAAAGAAATTATTACAAATTATTTGTCATGTATATTTCAATATTGAATGGCACAAATTACAAATAAAAAAAAAAAAAAACATTTAATTATAAAAAAGCAAGCAGAAGGAACTAGGCAAAATTTTCATTCCAAAATTTTTGATTTAGTTAATATTTACTTTTATACTAACTTACATATTATTTTATATGTTTATTCATAGCAGTTGATCATAGTAAATTACATAAATAATATTCACAGTATACAATAATGGGTATCATTCATAATTAAAACAAATCTACATCAAAAATACATTAATATATTCCAGTTCAAAAATCTGTTTAATTAATATTTGTTGAAAATTTATATCAACACTCATCAATATTTTATAATACTTATCATTTTAAAGTTCTTGTTTACCGATATGTTTATTTTCCCTTTTATGATTTTCATTCAAACACGACGTGTCGTCATCTTTTAAAGCGCGGTCTTTACATAAGAAATCCATTAGGCTTTTGGTTTGGTAATTAAAGTACCATTCCTCTATGTCGGATTCATAATATTCCAACAAATCTTCACACTTAAAGAAATATTACACAAATATTTTTAGCTATAAAAATAAAATGTATATCTAATTTACCTGAGTTTTCATCTGTGTTATCTCAACTGAAGGCTTATCCCACAGCTCATACGGTATACCCAGTTCCACTTTTACACCTTTATTTCTATAACAACAAAAAATCATATTGCACAAAATATTTTAGTACTTATCTATAATCTATTTACATATGAGTCAAAACGCCAAATACAAACAAACATTTGAAGCAACCCACCCCCCACGACTTTTTTTTAAAAATTACACTGCATGTCTATTACAATGAGTAGAATGTTCTCAAATTTGTTAGGATTTTTTTTCTCGATTATTTTGGCCATGGTCATAAATCAATTATAATTTTTTTCTTGACACTTCTTTTTTATCATTATTTTTATAGTATTTTCGCCCCTCAAAACAAATTATTAAAAATCAGTTTCTTATCTAAATAATCCTGACTTTCTGAAATTGTTTTCCACACAGCAGAAAGTCGCTAAAATTGAGTCAATAAAGTCATTAAAGTTGTTTTTTTATATTGCCCAAAATTTGACAATTTTTCTAATGTTTTTTCAGAAAGCCGAGAAATTTTACATGAAATGTGTAAATTTAAAGCTGGGTTCTCCTTAAAAAAAAGGTAAAAACTCATAGAATATTAAATAAATTGGAAAATTAACTCATTTTCTATGTTAATATTTAAACTATTTTGAATATTGTGGTCGGTTTTTCCAGTTTTTTTTTTTACTTTATAAAAAAATACGCGGGGGTTGCTCCAAACGTTTGTTTGTATTTTGCGTTTTAGGCCATACATAGAAGAAATGTAAAATACACTTACACGAGGCCATGAAGTGTCTGAAATGTTTGACTCATTCCTTTAGCAAAGCGTGAGCTGTCAGTTCTTTCTTTGTGAATGTTATATTCTAAGATTCGTTCGCAAACCCCTTCTAAAGATTCCACCAACCGCAGCTCACTATAAACACATAAGCACAAAAATAAAATATTAAAAAAATATACACATATTATGTAAAAACTCACGATTTTTTATATTGTTTTTTCTTTTTGGGCTGGTCTACAGAATATCCGATTTCTAAATATTCACTAGTTTTACCAGTCTCCTGCAATCGGCTTTCGAGTTCTGTTGCTAGAATTTTACATACTACAAAAAAATATATATATTTTTAACCACAGGTACATAGGTTTTATTTCTATCAAATATATAACAAACCTTCACATTTATTGGCATATTTAACGCCATCTTCTGCTGAATCACACAACGCTTTTACAATAAATAAAATAACTATCAAAACTTTTACTACAATTGCCATTTTAAAATTTATAATATATACTACATTACTCGATCAAAAGAATTAAATAAACTTATAAAATAAACCAACGCTTCATCATATTGATGTTACATTAAAGTTTTATTTTAAACCATAATTATAAATATTATATGTTAGGTAAACTAGTGTTGTTATTTTTGAATGCCAATAAAACCTTAAGTTCAGTGCTCGTATTAAACTTTAAAATTAATAATTATTAGTCTGGTAAATATTATTGGTTAATAAAGTAACAACTAACAACTAGGTATAAAGTTAAATATTAAAATACTTGTAAAATCAAAAATGCCTATATCGATTATCAATTATTTAGTTATCATTACATTTTTCCGAATGATTAAAATATTTGAAAAACAATGATAACAATTGTCTTTGCCATGATTTATAAGATAACAGTTTTGCCTGTGACAACAATTTTGAATACATTTTAAAATTTTTTTTATTGAGAATAAATACAGGTTTCAACAATTTAGTTATTAGCCTAAGTGTGCATTATATACAAGAAAATTCACAACTCAATGAATAAAGCTGATATTTTGATTTTTGATAAATATATTTGACTGTTGAAACTTGAATCTTGAATGTTTTACATGTTATGTATACAATTTGTAAATTATATTAACATGGGTAAGAAAATAAAATAAAAATCTACAAAAAATGTAATCAATTTTGATTTGCTCAAATGTCAAAGTATTGATACATAATATTTGTTTTTAACTTTTTAATCTAAATTTATATTTATTTTATCTACCTTCAAAAACAATGTGTAATTTATCAGTTTATATTAAATGGCTAACAAAATGAACCATTGTAAAAAATAAACAATTTGAAAATTAAAAGAATATAATTTTAAATGTTACGATTATATTATATCTAATGACCCATTTAACGTTGACCAACGCCAGGTACATTATATAGGAGGTAAATATTTATCTCAAAAGTTACATTGTTAACTACGCATGAAAATAATGTTATTTAATACCACGGATAATGATTAACCATAAAAATGTATTATTATATTGTTAATTAACATTAACAAAATTTCCCAGTTGTTTTTTAAAGATATAATAAAATATTCACATGTATTTGTTAATAAAGTATAATACAAATTATACAATTAGATCAAAACCAAAAAACATGGATAATAAATTTACATTTTGAATCTGTTAGGTTAAATATTTAATTTAACAATGCAACCTTTTAACAAAAACAAAAAATGAAATACTCATCAAAAATTTAACTTTACCAATCCTGATATATTTTTGAGAGAGCAAATATATTGTTTTTCCCTAGTCGCAAAATTTTAAGTAAGGCAGTATAAATGATACGGGATACCTCTGGTTGCAAACCTTTTTTTTTAAAAATGTAGATAACTATAAATAGTCTAAGCCCCGATCGGTGGGAGAAACGGACGTAAAACATAAGAGAGAGAGAGAGAGAGATAACTCTAAATAATTTTTTTAAAAAGAAATTAGTACTAGCAAGTGTCTAATAAAACAAAGTATATGTTTAATTTATTATATTATTATATGTTTTAAACCTAATGTAAAAAAATATCAAATTACTTATAGATAATCAAAGCTTATTTATATATTTGAGCATTTCCGCATTTTTATTTAAAAAAAAGTATAATTATAACATTTACCATAATATAAAACTATAAGACCTAACCAATTGGTTAACAAAAATAAAACTTAATCCAAAATGATTTTTTTTTTTAAACTAAACTTTGGAATGTATTATTTATCTGATGTTTGTCTTGTTTATTTAGCCATGTTTGCTCGTCTAAAATCGTCAGTCCGTTTTTTGTAAGTAAGGAACATAGCCCAAAAGAATCCAACCATATTATGGAATAAAACTCGCAACTAAAAACAATAACATTTTTTTTTTAAACTAAAATGGAAGTTTAGTTTATAAATAATAGATTAGGTATAAACATACCATTGGAGGCACGAATTTCAAATTGAAAAACTGAATTAATGAAACTATCTGCCAATTAGCTTTTAATATTGGCCAATATATTGCATAAATCTGTTTCATTGTATCTTCATGCGATTTTCCCTAAAAAATACAATTTTTTATCAAACAATACATTTATTTTTTCTGAAAAGTTTTTCATACCTCAAATCTTGACAACACGTAAAGTGAAAGAAATTGGTAAAACGGAGTAAATATTAATCGTTCAATACCAAACTTCAAGAACACCATTTTGGAAGAATTATCAGGAAATGTACTTTCTAATGATTCGTAAAAGAAATGTGGTACTGGTCCGCCAAATAACAGTCTACAAAAAGTATATTTTAAATAAATAATAGATTTTACATTTACGATATACATGCCCAAAAAGTCCAAAAGCAACTACACTGTCTTGATCAATCATTTTGGCCCCTGCAATATTTTGCAAAGTGATATTTCCAAGTGAAGCAATAATACAACTAAAAATATATAAAAAATTAGTTATATGACATAAACACGATAAAATATAATAAATAATTATTATTCACCTGGTAATTGATTTAGTGCGAATAGGTCTTGTGTGTAACCTTTCCAAGTAAGTCAATACTAATCCTTGTAAAAACTCAGCAGGTTTTGATGGAGCCATCTTATTGCAGCTATTGTGTTATGATATTTTAATGATGGAATAAAATTTTGTATACGGTAATATTTAATCTAAAAAAAATAATATCTATGTGATAAAATTAATGTCAATGTATTATCATTGTTAAATTTTTCATAATTTGAATAAAAAAATCGCAATTAACTATCAATTGAAATCCAACTATAATCCAGGATTGTTAAAGAATTACTTCTAATATAAATAATATTATCAAATTAAATATTATTTAATTTGATGCAACATACATAAAATGCACAAAATGTGTATAATATTAACTTACTAATATAATGATGTTTATATTTTTGGTAAAACGCTCTGGCACCACCTTGAATAATTTCAACTTTAAAGTAAGAGTACTATTTTAACTTCAAAAAACATGTAAGTAGTTTACTTTCTAAAGTCGGTTGTCGGTCGTCGACGTTGTCAATATCATTATCAAGCCATATCATATTTTTGGTTTTCTAGGTGAACTGTCGTCTATTCCTTGACCTTCAAGAAAGAACACCAGATAGAGCAGTGTGTACCGGATGTCTTTTATATTATTTGTATTTATATTAGGTACATTATATTATATACAAAATAGGTTCTTTGAATATAATATTTAAAAAAAAAATAAAACATCTATGCTAATGTTTTACCCTCGCCAAAACCAGGATTTTTCTTATTGTAAGTTAAATAGACCTAAAAGACCGCATTTTTAGATTCATAGTTTTCAAGGGCCGGGTAAAGTTAAGAACAAACATTTTACTAAAGAATTTTTTTTCTAAATTAAATATGTTAATCAAAATTGGCCAATCATTTTACACATTAAAAATAGATTTTTTTTCTTGAGTTATTTTGTACCAAACTGTACAATTGCCGACAATTTAAAAGAGAATGTTTTTATTGAAATCAAATATAATAATTAATATGTGTCTAATGTACTAAAATGAAAATTGTTTTTATAAAAGTAATTCTAATTGGACTTTTTTACCATACACTACACACAGTAAGTTCTTCCGCACATCGATTGACACATTACTTAAATAAATCGGTCCAGCAGTTTCAAAGTTACAGTGGATACAACCCCCTTTCCCATGCAAAAAAAATCACATCATTGTAAAATCAATATCATCTTAGCAAGCATCAAAGCTAAAAAAATTACATTAGCTTTATTCCTCCTTTCACTAAATTCATTGATACATGAAAAATGCATGTTTGTATAATCAGTAATGCGTATTTTTCAATGTAATTCAGGAGTTTGATGGCATCTGTCATTAGGGGCTTTTATATAATTTATTATCCGTTTACTTTTAGAGTTCCCTTCCTGTAGTTACTGGATATACTTGGGTGTTTTTACATCATATTAACAAAAGTTATCCTGTCTAATATACATGTAAAAATTATACAGATTACAGTGTTTTCTTTTGCCAACTAAAAACTGCCGTTTAATTATCTTACTAAACAGTAAACATCATAATGAAGTAGATTATTTGCCTCACAATGAACTAAGGAATTTGAAAAAAAAAATTATAATATTTTAAATCATATTTTGTCTAATTTTCTGATCGAAAATTCACAAAATTGTGCAAGGTTTAAAATTGAAATTTACTAGGTAATCATCTGTGTTGTAGTTGTGATTGTTTGGTATATGTAATTGTATTAGATATTAATCAACATAGAAATATTAAGAGCTCTAATTTATTAGAAAGCCATCCTAAGGAGATGTTTCGGGGGTTGCAGAGTTATAGATTCCTTCACATCGCATATTTCTGTTTCATTAATTATAACTTCTCCCTTAGAAAAATCATTGTAAAATTAACCTTCTCGACTCTAGACATATTTTATTCGTTATTCAAATATTTATCCAGATAACGATTTAGCTAAACACTGGTTCCGGCCAGTCTACATTGGCGCAATTAGGGGGCTAGGGAAGTTCAAATCCTACTAAACTCGTTTAGACTAAAAACAAATGTCAGCGACCAAAACCGACTCAGCGCCCCAAGTAAAGTTTATAATATTTACTGAAAATCTAAGGAAGCTTTCAGAGGTCTAAACTTCCTTAGCCCCGCATCTAATTAATAACTACTGAACTATTATATCATTAAAGATATTTATTCGGTCGACCAATATATTCTTTGTATATTAAATAATTTATTACATCCATATCACTTAAATTATTGCCGAAAGTAATAATGTAATTATATCTTTGTGCTATTAATGCCGTAGGAGGAACGTGGATTTAGATAAATACGAGACGCTGATATTAAATGGATTATGTTTCAAAGCAAGTAGAAACGCAGTAGAACGCGCCGAATGAATATAACGGTAGATCCCCTTGTTTTTTTCCACGGTTTAAGAAAACAACTATTGTCGTGTTAACGTCTTATTTAGGAAAATGTCTACTCGGACACACGGTCGACGATTCCCAAACTCCATCAATCTCCTTCAGCAATGACCCGAAACAATTATTTAATTTTTGTTTTAATTGGTTGGCTCCCGGGCTCCCGGCTATATCTGAGACGAAAACGGAATAATATAACCCGAGTGTGTGTGCGTGTGTATATACACATTACAGGCACACACGAAGGGTGCCCAGGTCCTGTGTTTGGGTGTTTCAGGTTGACAGCGTGCTTGATCGATGACCATAACAGCTCCTCCGCGTCCAACGCATAAAACACCCTGCCCCGCGTGCACGACCCTCCACCGGTCCACCTCCACCGCCTTTTTTTCGAGCTCCAGGGCGAACACACAACCACTTCGCCCCACAACTTAATATAATAATCACAGATGCTGGTGATCCCGCTACAGCCACCGGAAATATCACAAACACACCGAAGTCAGATGGCGTTATATGCTCAATAAACGTACGCCACTTGAATTAATTTTAATTTGATGCACCTATGACTTCCTTAGAACCTTGGCGACAAATATGAAATTAAATGTATTCCTAAAGTGTCCGTCAGGTCTATAATCATTAGTAAAATAACATACACATTATAAACGTTTAATATACTCGTATTCTAAAATGTAAATATTATACACATAATTCATAAATTTATATGGTGCTTTCACACGCCATGAAGTACCAACACTGGTTGGCTCCTTCGTCCGAGCCTGCAGTGTCGATATTTAATATATTTGTTATTTTATAAATACTATCACTTGTGCTTATTGTAAATACATATTCTTTACAGATTGTACAGCGCTAAAAAAAAACTTAGCGTGGAATCACTATCCACAAACATTTGAATAAAAAAAAATTTCTTTTCCTAACATCAAAATTATAATACTTATTTACAAATACAATTTAAAAATGTATGTATCTAATTAAAAAGTATTTTTTGAAAAAGTTATTAAGAAAATCAATAAAATTCAAAAACTTCGAATTAATTAAATTCGATTAATTTTAAAAGTCCGGATTTTTAAAATCCCACCTAATCGAAACCACTTGATATTTTAATCAAAGTATCCTTGATTTTGTTAAAACAATTATTTTAAATAAATATTATTGTTTCAGATTGTAAATAGTTTTTTTAGTTTTCGACTTCCGTCAAACCAAGCTGCATAATTTATTTTTCATTTACATAATAAATGTTTTAATCATCATCAAATAAAAATAGAAAACAATTCTGGCAATACACATCTAAACGCTTATCAGCTCGTCCATCACATAAAGTTGTTCTCTGCTGGATACTGATAATTTAAATTATGCATATAAATAAATAGATAATAATTAATAATATTATGTTTGCATAGATAAATAATACTCGATTTCAAACTCGTATAATGATATATTATTCCATAATAAATATCCCCGACAAAATATAAATAGAACTTATGCATTTTTTTTACTATTTACCCACTAAAAATATATGATCACAAATTATTTAAATAATTTTTGTCAAGCGCTTAAAAAATAAAAGTAGGTAAATTTTAAAGTTTTAGTAAATTCACCTCACAAATCGTTATAATTTAAAGTAATAATAATCGAAGTATGCTTTACATTTTAGGCACATTCTTATTGAAACGAACATAGTCAAAAATAAACAAACAAACATATTATTTGTAGAAAAAAATTTAACACATACTAATATTCGTTGTACGCCAACTATTTGGGACAAAAAACGAAACATTCTAAATAAATAAATAAAACAAAAATGGAAATATATTCTTTTTAACTATTAATAATATACTATCAATTTTTGTTTATTGGAGGGGGCCGAATAATTTACTTGCTCTCACGGAGCAAATCGCATCAAACATTTATCATAAGTATAATACTTTGTAACGCTAGCTAATCACGTCAGCTAGCACTACCCGATTTATTAATCGAATATTCATAAAGCACTATGGTGTTTGTAAAAGTAATTAAAACTATTATTACGCATTCATTATGTGCGAAGTGAAAATTTTAACATCATCAAATGTCATATTTAAAGTGTCGTTTGTGTCCTACCGGGTGATGAATTTAACTTATAATTAATCCAACCCCGTTTCGAATCCGGAGGACGGTGTCAATGCACAACTTTTACATTTTGTGGCACTGAACATGCATACTATGTGGACCGTCGGGGATCATAAAAAATTACATATTATTATTGTAATAGTTTCTCAACAGGCGCACACTGCGCTATGTTTGCGCAAAAAAGTCAGACCTCCCGCGGGATCGTGACGTTACGGATGCCGGACTGCATACCTTATACAGATTGTGTGTGAAATAGATGTTAAATACAGATAACCGAGCAGTGTCCGTGTGTATACTGAGTACAGCGTATAATAACGCTATGGACATTATAACGGACGCATCACATAATATTATATTATACAGTATCTGTTACCTGTGGCGAAGATGTACGCGTGAGTGGTCGCTGTCAAATCACCCGGCGGAAGAGCCCACTATTATGTTATCGCCGTTTCTCCCGTCTCTACTAATGGCAGTTGGCACACACAGGGTATAGACGACGAATACCTTTGACACATTATTGACGGGTTCTTCTTCAATAATATAACGTTATATCCGCCTCCCATATAAATGTATCCAAACGTCACAGATTGCGCAGTGTCACACGTCATCCGCGTTATACAAATGTTAAGACGGGTGATATTATTATTATATTATGTTTAGATCATTCTGAATAATATGTAATAGAAGGAACATCAATACGAAACGCAAAACAAAGCTTAACTTATTTTGTGTGATTAATACATCACACAAAGTCCAACAAATTTCGATTAATCTTTTTCTAATCTACTGTGGGCTCATAATTCTAGAAAACATGATCAACTGGTGGAATATAATAATGATCTTATTATTCTGGAGTGTTTTATTAAAACAAAAATATACCGACCAGTCTGTACCGATGGAGGCGTGCAAAAGAGTTTCGTGTAACATAATTGATGTCGCTAAAATGCAACACTACAGAAGTCCATAAAATACAGGACAACACAAATTAACCA